GAAAGGGGATTCACCAAATATTAAATACTGTTTGTAAATTTTAGTATGACACCGCGTGCGCAGTGATATTGACGTATTGTGATTTATTATAATGCCGCGGGGACGGGAATCGACTCGTCGTATCCTGAAAGGTCGTCGTACTGCTGTAAACCAAAATGAAATCGTGAGGATTCTTTATCAAGAAGTTTCGTCAGACGATGGAGATTTTTCTGCCGGATCAGATGATGAATATGATCCTGACCGCGACGTAAATAAACCAGACTCCAGCGATTTCGATTCGTCTTCTACCATATCTAACGACGCACCACCTGAACCGGAAGTTGAGCCGCCGTCGTGTGATCCAGAATTCCAGTGGAGCACGGGTACAGCAAGACCGCAGCGATTCGCATTTTTAGGAGAACCAGGTATAAAAACGAATCTCTGTCTTACACCGCCTGCATTGGCAGATATATTCTTTTCAAATGATTTCGTGGATTCATTGGTACAAGCTACAAATACTTACGCCCACAAAACGGTCAGACCCCTACAAAAATATGCTCGACTTAGACAGTGGAAAGACACGAACTACCAAGAAATGAGAAGGTTTATTGGCATGTTGCTTTACATGGGATTGATAAAATTACCAACCATAAGCCACTATTGGAGGACAGATCAGCTTTACAATTTGCCACTTTTTCGATCTATCATGAGTAGAAATCGATTTCAACTGTTGCTACGCAACTTTCATTTCTCTGAAAATGACGATACAGCTACTTCACGACTGCATAAAATAAATCCCACATTAGAAAGGTTTAACACCTTGATGCCCGAACTGTATTATCCTGAAACCGATCTTAGTATTGATGAGTCAATGGTTTTATGGAGAGGAAGGTTGATTTTTCGTCAATATATAAAAAATAAAAAGCATAAATATGGTGTAAAACTATATGAACTTTGCGAGTCCTCAGGAATGGTTCTGAAAATCCGTATTTATAAAGGTAAGAGCGAGAAACCTCCACCCGGTACACTTCATAGCACTGAAGTAGTATTAGATCTCATGGAAGGTTATTTGGATAAAGGTCATGTTGTCTACACTGATAATTTTTACAATTCACCGGATTTGACAAGACGTATTGGACAAAGAAAAACATACATTTGTGGAACACTGCGCAAAAATCGCAAAAATATCCCTTATGAAGTTACTAATGCAAAGTTGAAACGAGGAGAACTTGCTTCACAAGTTTGCAGTGACATTACCGTGTGTAAGTGGAAGGATAAACGAGATGTTTTAGTCATTTCCAACAAACATCAAGTTCAAATGGTGAACGTGCTAAACAAAAATGGTAAAATTTCGTTGAAACCCAATATTGTAGCGGATTACAACTTAGGCATGTCTGGTGTGGATAGAAGTGATCAAATGGTCTCCTACTATTCGTGCCTAAGGAAGACACTGAGATGGCACAAGAAACTAGCGCTTCATATTTTTGAAGTATACTTGCAAAACGCCCACAGATTATTCCGACTGAAAAATAGAACAACGAAAACGAGACTTCTAAAGTTCCGCGAAGATTTTATCACGCATCTTTTGGGACTAAACAATAATGTGGAACTGAATACCTCGGCACCATCAGGATCGTCTAACACACCGCGCGCACAGCCATCACAAGAAAACATATTGTCACCAGAATTGCCCGGACTCTCACGACCACCTTACCATTACCATTCATCGCCAGCAACTTGTGCTAGACGCATGGAGCATCCTTTGACTACGCGTGTTCATCCTGAAACTTTCCATTACCTAGAAAAAATTCCACCTACCACTAAAAAAGCTGTTCCAGCTAAACCTTGTCGAGTATGCACCAAAAATAAGAAACGAAAGGAGACAACATTCGTGTGTGCTATGTGCCCTGAAAAGCCTGCGTTATGTGTGGTAAATTGTTTTCAAATTTTTCACACCGACCCTCGTTTTGTTTGATTTTTTTGTTTCGCTATAATACCTTCTTTTTACTTTAGACTGTTGATTGTTGTAAAAAGAAGTTGAAACTAATTAGTAGGTAAAACGCACAATGATTATTACACGATACTTGCTTATTTTATTGTTTTTTTTGTTTAGAAGTGTCTTAGATTATCGAAAAAAAATTTAATTTAGGATCAATAAAGTTACTACTTTTTTATTGGGTGTTTTATTTGAGGTGCCAAAGTATACTAAAACATTCAAGTTAGGGGGCCCAATGGTATAGATTTCTTGTAAACTGTTAGGGAAGTGCTACGTTTTATTGCGTAGTTGGCCTCTTCCATGTTCGCTAGCTACGTATATATGCGTAGTTGGCAGTCAATGGGTTAAAGAAGTAAAAGACTTTCTTGGCTGTGACAGTTTTTATTTTTTTTAAATTGTAAGTGCACATTTAAGCTCCATCTCACCTGATGGAAAGTGACTATGAGGTTGACGATGGAGTATACACACCTAAATAATACCTATTCAATCTCACCTTGAAATGGCCCAAGTTATAATGTTCAGGAAACAAGTCTACAGACAGGTAATTCCAGTCCATAGCTGTTCAACATATAAATGTGGTAGCGTAACGCTTTGTGTGAACCTTTGGTATATCCACAACATAGGAGTGGAACCCAGGCCTAACAAAACGGGAGTTTCGTCTGCCTCGTGGCAGAATCTACACTCTATTAACTCTCTATCTATTAATAATATACAATAATAACTATTGTTCAAGCCACAATGCCCTGTTAAGACTCTAGTGAATATTCTGATACCATTCCTGTCCAATTGACTGTAAATAATAATAATAATAAATAATTTAAAAAACAGCCTATCCAATGACAGAGCTTCTCTACAGTGTTGGGCACTGTAGGCATCTACTAGTGCTTTGGAATGCTCAAAAATTTTGAATGTTTGCGTGGCTTTGTAGCCACACTTCGCGAGAGAGGTGTGTGCTCTCGTTCAGCAGAGTGAGCTTAGCTAGGCTGTGTGCTATCCCTATAAAGGGTTCAGGTCCAATAAAGATTTCCCTAGCACGTCAGAGTGGCCTGGAACCCAGCGCAGCACCCCCCTATTCCTTTCCCTGAGAGTATTCAGTATAGTTACACCGTTCTCTACTATCTTCGATGTTTAGGTGACTGAGGTTAGTGCGTGTAGAGCTGCTTGGCTATCTAAGTTTATATAAATATACCTGTGAACGTAACCTTCGCCTATCTAGTAGTATGTTCCCATACAGGGACACAATGTAGATTGGGAACTTCACACCCATCATTAAATTGCATTGCAGATATGTTCAGATTTCCTAGCAACGTTTTCCTTCACCTAAAATCTCATGATAAATTTCGAATTACATTTTGCATATAAATTCCGATAAACTCATGAGGTGCAAGCCTGGATTTGAACCCACAACCCTCTGCTTGAGAGGTGGTAGGTCAAACCATTAGGCTACCATGTAACACAGAAAACTGTAAGAGAGCTAAAAAAATCCTGTAGCCTTTAATTCTGTGACTTCAGCTCTGAAATGTTATATTGGTATGATCACAATACATGTGCTACTGACAATAGCTGTGTGGTGCTGCATAGGCCCTAGGTAAGCCACCCTAAAAATAATAATATTAAAAAATAAGAACTCTTGCAGACACAATTAACATACACATCATTTCTCTAAGTGTGTACTACCAATGATTTATTACACCCTTGACATCCAAAATGATTTACAAAAAGTGTCCTGTTATTGTACAGCTGCACAAACTATTTTATAATGTATGAAAACATATAATTTTAGAATATTATAAAACAATCTGTAACTTAAAATTTTAATTAGTCATACATTTGTAATATATTTCATAAATAATTACTCGGTCATTGTTGCAGAGTTTCTTTGAACATTCTATTTATTATTTTGTTGTTTGTCTTTGAAGTTTCTAGTTAATTGTATAAAACTACCTAATTGTTCATGTGCTTTCTTTTTAACCTCTCAAATCCAAAGACTAGAATAGACATGGCTTAATTTTTTCATTTGAAATATTGATCAACTTTTTCCTCTCGTTTTTTTATACGTTATCAGATGATTTAGAATTAGATCTTGTTTTTTTTTAAACTGAGTGGGGTGGCAGCTGTAGCAGTAGCTTTGACCTTCAGTGTCTTATCTTAGTGAACATAATCCTTCAAATACATTCAAGATTTGTCATCCATCACATTTAGGTGTCTCGTTAAGTTGCCATGATAATATCTTTTTCTGTAATATGTTTACTTCTTTAACTGTTAGCATCACAAAACATTCATTGTTTCTTGTATACCCAGTTGTTCCAGATATACCATTCTTAGCACTGTATTTGAATAATTACAAAGTCCCAGAGTTAGATTCCAAAAGTCCATAATGGTTTGAAAATACATTTATGAACTTACTTATTTTCTCTCTAACTGGAAGTTCCTTCCTTAGCGAGTTCAGGATCCTGTTATGGAAGCTTGTATAATGTGTTCAGAGAAGGGACTAGGCATTGGTCACCTTGAGTAACATCCACACTAATTAACTGGTGTCGAACCAGGGAAATCTCTATAGTATGAGTATCAGAGCAATAGAATTCACCCGAATATCGAACCCGGGATCTCCTCATCGAGTGCCCACAGTGCAAACTATTAGGCCACCAAGATTGTTAGACAACTGGATTATTCTTTAAGCCACGTCTTTAGTCAAGTTAATATACTGTTGTGTAAGGTAAAGTATGAGACTCCATAATCCAACAATGACATCTTAAGTATACTAATAATAATCTATTTATTGTTTCAGAGGCCACAACAACGTTACGCTTACTCTTTCATGGAACATAATCCCTAATGCAGGTCTGTTGCCAAATATTGAAGCTATTGGCCAGCATTCTTTCAAGTTCCCTACAGAGTACACTCAAACGAGAGTATGATCTCCGCCTAGTCGAGTGAAGGTTATTTTCCTTACATAGGTGAGACTGTGACTGTGTGTGCAAGATCGGGAAATATATTGGTTATATTAATGACAGGACTTTAATTTAGAACACCCTGTAAATTTTGCTCTTTTTATATTAAAATTTAACGTGTCCATTACGATAGCTGGACCAAACGAGATACACAAATCAAACTGTGCTCATTATTTACTATTTAATACCTTTATTGACGTATTGTCTGCCTAAGAGCTAACTTAAATATTAAAGAAATTAAGTAGCCAGCCAATTAGACGTCAGTTTGGCTGACCACTTTACGTTTTTCATGGTTCTAGCAGTATATAATTTACTTTTTTTTATATAACTATTTACTACCTAAACATACTTTTACCAAAACATGCCAACAATGGTTTCTGGATTCTTTGCAAGCAATATTTTATAACAATTATATTAATTTCTAGTTGAATTCACTATTACAAATGTAAATTCCAATTGTAGGTATTAAGGAATGCCAACGAATTACAATCAGTTAATATCGTTTAGTTGTCATTTACTATGAAATTAAGAAAAAAATAGAAGTACCACTAATATTTTAACCAATCAGGAGAGAGCAGAGCATTTGACCAGTGACATATTTGACATTTTAATTACGAAAAAATTACGTTCCTTTTTTGGCATATTCTAAGTGCCTGAAAAAGTATTATTAGCATTACACAGAGAAAATAAACTGTCTATAACATTGACATAAGATAACTTTTGCAAAGGCGTTTTATTTTTTTTTAAATATGTATAGAATTTTCCTAAAATAGTGAAAAAAAAAAAGTATGTTTAGGTAGAAATTAGGCAGTAAACAGTTACATAAAACTAGTATATACTACTAGAACCTTGAAAAACGTAAAGTGGTCAGCCAACCTGACGTCAGAATAGCTGGCCACTTTGTCTTTCATATTTCCGTTAGCGCTAAGGTAGAAAATATGTCAATAAAGATACTAAACAGTACAAAATAGTTAGTAAATAATGAGCACAGTTTGATTTGTATATGTCATTTGGTCCAGCCATCCTGACGGACACATTTAACATACCTACTTAATCTTTTAAAATACATTTCAAGTCTAATAAATAATTTATTGAATGATTACAAAACATGGTATGTGTAAATCTTCTCCATAACACTTGTATTTAGAAAGTTAGTTACTGGAAATTGTAAAAAGATTAAATGTCTACACATACTTCCTCTCTGAGTAGCAAAAACTTAACACATTCACTGTACCTTAATTACTCAATAACTTTGAGGTATATTCAAGAATTCACAGAAAATACCTACACAAGGAGCAGTAAATATGTTACAAGTAAATAAATAACAGTATTTTTAAAAGCCCCTGTATATATATGAAAATGTCAATTGGTTATCAAAAATGTATTCTTAAATTGTTGCTATGTATTAAAGGTTGTAATAATAATAATACACTCAATATACTTCATATTGTATATATTTTACAGATACATTAATCATTTTGCTCTACAAGTGTTGTTCTACAGCAGAAAAGACTATTATCATCTATCATTGCTTTTAATAACTCTAGTATAGGGCGTAATATGTCGCTAACTTCCCTTCCAATGGAATTCATATCATAAACTGAAACAACAAAATGCTGGATATTACATAAAATAAAACCAAATCTCACGTTTCATTGTTAAACCCTAGTAGTAGAAGCAAATGCTTCTGTTCTCCCCATTGAAGTAATTGGAAATAGTAATTTTGCATTCAAACATAGTAAACTTCTATCATTACAGTTACAAATGCTAAGCCAAAGTAGCAATTTTATTCTAAAATTCATTATTCAATTACTACATTTTAATTGTTATATTAAAACCTCACACAAGCGTTATATTGAGGTACATAATGTTTTACATTTTAATAACTTTTGGAGACATTACAAGAAGTTTAATATAACAATGTCTAAAAAATTAACTACGACAGGACCTAATGAGGTTATATATTTAACAAATAGTTTACTTCTATTAATAAAGAATTGCTTGTTAAATAAACTATCTCACAGGCTCTATAAAACTGTAAAAATAGTAATATTATAATATAATGTATTACCAACAATATTTTTATTGAATTATATCTTCACAAAGCGAGCCTATATTGTGTTAATCATTTTGAGTGTTTAACACTTTAAGTGATTCAATAGACTACGATATGAGGGTGTATTATGTCATAATGTCTTGATTCATAATATAATAAGACAAGTATGGTAGTTCAATAGAAACGTAGCAGCGCAGCTTGTATGCATACGCGCCCACCACGCGTACGGATACACATATTCGCATAATCTTGCGATGCACTCGCGTTGCATAAAGACGGCTTCCTTTGAAGTTACCGACTCGCGGAAGACCCGAACAGACGAACACGGGCACTGAAACCAAAACCCCCTTTCATGATCATGCGAATGTGTGCATTCGTACACGACGCGACACATACAAGTCGCGCTGTTCCTCTATACGGAGTTATCATACTTCTCTTATTTCACTATATCTAATAGAACTCAAATTAATACCTAATCATTTGTGCTTGTGCTGCCACTCCAAAAAAATACTTGATGGTTACCATTATACCAATATAATAATAAGACACGATAATCGAATTAAATTTATCCTAAAAAAACTAATTCTATGTATAATAATTATGTCGATTATGAGCAAACTAAATATAGTTCAGTGCTGTCTCTTTCGTTATCGGTAAGAAAAGGGCAAAAAGGTTTTATTTTAGTTTAAAAATGGAATATTTTGAAAATGCATTTTAAACTTATGAGTAGTCTATGGGTGTCGAATAATGACAATTTCCTAAACTAAACCGTCATCCTTTTCTTACACATAACAAATGAGTTACGAACTTAAATTACATTTAGTTTACATGTAGTGCGAATCGGCACAACGGGAAATAAAACTAAAACATTACTCTCTAATTTTCAACTTTATCGTCGCGTGCTAGTTTCTACAATAATGAAACTTTAGTGCAGCAATTACCCTGACGCAACACAATCCCACACAATTTTTGCAATACTTTCCTATGTCTACATTCCTTTCTAGCTGAACTAAACATTTTCGAGCCCGGCTCTCGTCAGATCAAAAACATAGTCGACACAAAGAAACTTCCTTGTGACGCAATTACACAATAGATATTTAATGTAATATTGCAAACCAACTTCATAGAAAAATTTCTACACTTTCCCCATCAAACTTTTCATAACCATCTCCATAGTGACAATGCCAGAACATAGAGGACGGCTATTTTTACAGCTTTTACACATTTATAATAATAGTTAAGACAATACTAAATTGCCTCTAGTGTCGTAAGACTGTAGAATATTGCTTTAATGCCTCTGGCATCTTTAAATTTCAAGTTAACTACCAGATTCGCTACAATTTTATACTATATCCACCTAACATCCAAAGCTGAACGCACTAAATCATTTGAGAAATATTGCATACTTAAACATGTTGAACTACAGTGGTACAAAATGAACCCTTCACGGTTCCTGGAGACATACGGTGTCCCTGACAATTTTCGTAAAAAAATAATTAAATTATTGATACAAACATCTAATAAACACACAGAAAAATTCCTACCATCACCACCAGAACCAGCAACTTTATAGACAAAATTTGTTGGTATATTTTCATAAAAAATAAATGAATATCATGGTAGTAAAAACTGCATTTATCAAATTTTTTTTTAATGGTGGATGAAAACGCCTGCGCGTTTAAAGACACCTGGTTAATGCCGGGTGCACGAGTTTTTCGCTTGCTTGCGTTGGCTGGGTTACGGCGTAGAAATCTGCCTTCCGCGCAAAGGCGTTGACGAGTCTTCCGCTTTGCGTTGCAGAAAAACTTGCGCGCATGCTTTGCCTTTGTTTTGGTATTATTGGACGCGCAGACGCTACTGCTCTGTGATTGGCCAGTGGTGCTGTCCTCTGCAAACGTTCCCTGTTGCTTGCGTGGAAATATCAAACACTCGCAAAGCAAGCGGCCGGTGCAGGCGAGCGACTCGTGAACAGTCCTATCTGCGCGCACAAGAGAGATCTTTGTGTATGCGCGAAACGAGTCACGCTAACAAGCGTAAAACGTAAGTGAAAGTCTCGTGCACCCAGCGTTAAGGAATGTTGAATGACAATGCCAGTATTTCCATAGACAATTGCTCTAAAAAATTACTCTGTCCCTTCTAGTTTTCTATAAAATCTCGTTTTACCCCCTGGGAACTCAAGTTTATTATGTATGCCGTATATACCTTAATAGCTACTCACCCTTTACATATCCTTTCCATAATCTGTAATTCTGCTTTCGCAAATGCGAAGGCAAAGCCATTAAGAATATTAAAAAAAACTTCTTTACATTGCAAAATGAATATTTTGCTGTAGTGATGAATTTGGAAGTAGAAAACTAGAAATTCTATTAATCTTTGTACATTACATGCATATTTGAGTGGTGGAGTAGAATCTGGCATTGTCTTTAACATGCTTTGGTAAGGATTGATTTACTTTATTCGTAAAGTTATAAAATTTACCACAGTTCAATTCCAAAATTAACCTCATCCTCATCCAATTTACAGATTGTTGGCCTGACCCATTGAGAACCGAGGGTGACTCCCTTTTGACCACTATAGACAACAGTATGTCTTAAAATGTATTCCTCTAGCGACAGTCACTCTATAGTGAATTCGAATACAATCACAACAGATGACGCCTTATTGAGTCTCTAAACTACTGTTCAACAACAGAATTATCTAATAAAAAAATACAGTACAAAGCCATGACATGTGAATGGGAATTGACTAGCTTTTGTGTGATCATATGATGAATGATGTTTATTATCAATATGTATTTATTTATCAATATTACTGTTACTTGTATTCAATAGGTCCCTGAGAGTACTGCACTGTTTCAATGGAAACATGTCATGAGATATGATATTAGATGAGACTCGAGTAATCTATAGAACAAGAAATAAAGTATGTACTAGGATCTACAACAAAGTTCATAGGGTAGCTATGTCGAGTATTATAATTTTTATAATTATTTGTAAGGTATACAATGAGCAAAACATGGAAAAGATAACTACCAAAAATATATGTGACAATGGTGAAGAACAATAGAAAATGACACCAATTGTTACAAAGTGAAAATAAGATGTGGATTATTAACTAGATTTAAATATGGTTGTCATTTTCCTAAAAATATGAATAAAATGATTGAATATTACAACTTAACAGCAAGTATAAAGATCACAGTTTCCGCAACAATTATTGATTTGGTTCCATATGTGACCTAAATGACACATGACTTCGATATTCAAATACATAACAGTATGTAGTTTATAACATGAGCACTAACTTTGAAATGTAGTAGGTACTTAATTTTATAATATCCAACATCAAATACAACCAAACGTCAACCGAAACTTTACATTGTAACTATTCGCTGTTTATACCACCCCTGAAACAGGTGAAGAGCATATAGTCAAAAGACCTAATATCCAAAATCTGCAAGTACAAGTTGTATACTGGAACGGTGACCGGTGTGAGAGAGACGCACAGACTGCCTACACATTTGGCAACAACGCTTCTAGAATTGAAGGACATCGGATGAAGCATTTCAAGGTAGATCGCAAATGTGTGGACAGGACTAGAGTCGCCCTCTACCTGCGAGTGCGGTGCGGTGAGGCGGGCCCGCGGCCGCCGCGAGCGCACGTTCAGAGGCGGCAGGGCTCTGGCGCGGGCCGTCACGCGCTCGGCTGCGGCGGCTCGTCCGTCTGCACGTCCTTGTCTTCCATAGGCGGCGCGACCGCCCGGTCCGACCCGTACCGCCTCGACAGATCCAGCATCTCCCTTAAACCCTGAAATCATGGCATGCGAGGCGTAATATTGGCAGCACTTAAGCAAACTTTAGCAGCAATGCAGTAGCGCGACTGCATCGGTACATTTACGATTTAAAGGCGATTGCATCGATGCAACCGCGCGTCTGAATCGACGCAGTCGCGCGTATGCAGCTATGCAGTTGCCTATAAACCGCAATCGCGCGTTTCAAGAACGCAAGTTTGCATCGCTGCGAAAAGTCGCGGTATGTAACCACTCTAAAAAGAAAGCAGGTGACATTCAACCTTTTTTTTAACTAAAGAGACTAAGCATTATGGAACATTTTAGCCTCATTGGAGAAACAATTCACCAAGAATTAATGGAATCCAAATAGTTAAATCAAAATACTACCTAACCAAATGTGTATACAAAATCTTCATGGCACTACTTGTTAACTCAGTCAGAAACAACCCAACTTTAAATGTATATTTAACCTTAAAAGAAGCAACATTAAAGTACCTTATTTTCAGTGATAAGCCTCTGGTAGACTTCCTCTTCTTTCCGTGACTCTCCATTTTCATCTAAGTTCACAGCTTTATACATGATTGTAGTCATTTCATTGATGCGCTCCGATTGTTGACGAATTAGCTGTACAAAAGTTTTTACTTACAATTATTAATAATATAAAGATATAACTATAATTGACGCATTTGGAGCAAAAAGGGCCTTCGTTCGGCACCCAAAGCCCGTTTTGATGTCATTGCATCAAAACATGTAAAGCACCATCTAGTATCTTGTGATAAAAAGTCTTTTCCCCACCCTATCCCTTCTGAGATGGCGTAAGTTTGATTCATTTAGAACGTGGCGCTCCTCCCTTGTTGCATAGATTACAAATGTGCTCTGAATTTCGGACACGTTACGACCAGCAGTTTGTAAAAACTTATTTTAATGTAAAACAAATCTGAAACGAGCGACTTCATCCTCAACCTAGAGCATCTAGGAGGCCAATGAGACCTATTGAAGATTTGAAGACTGAAGAAACAAACACGATTCTGACGATACATTTCAATCCAGCTAATTCAAACAATGGTTAAAAACATTTAATTTTTTTTCAATTAACTTCTAAATAAGACTGATTCACATAAGTAGCTAAAGTTATTATTTATTTCTTATGAAACCAATAATAAAACGAATGCCCCATTAATTTACCGGCTTGGTACAACAAGGGCGGATAACACAAGGAAAAATAAATTATTTACAAATATTTGTAATTGTTTTCAAATAATAATAACACTTGACTCTACAGTATATATAAATATTAAAAAGATATAGGACTTAAAACTATTTTAAATTTTGTTGAATCTCATTTTTACGTGGTACGCCCATATTAACCTCCTAAGGGCGCATTTATTTTCTCCTCGTACAACTGGGCGCTTGAATTCCCTAAAGCCGCCATATTTCCGTATACTCGAATATGGGATAGGAAGAGCAAACTTTGATCACATGGCATACGTCAACTAATCACAGATTAGTTGTCAAAATAGTGCACACTTGTGGAAAATGACGCACCCGCAGGAACGGCGTAGGTTAATCAGGTTTATTCACTGAAATCTTGAGTACATTCGTATAGACTTTTAGTTAAAAATAACAAACTGTTAGTAAACTACAGAAAACTTTTCTAATTTGGAACCTAAAGCATACATAGTTATTTTTAATTTTGCAAAATAAAAATATGTACATTTTAATACGACTGAGAATTACTGAGTGGAAAAATACATAATGTAATATATTTTTTCGTAATCGTAGGACTGTATAATTTTTTTTTGTTATATGTTATGCGATAATTCTGGTATTTGTGAACCGATTTTGATGATTCTTTTTTTGTTGGAAAAGGTACCTCAGTAGTGGCCCCATTTAAATATTCCACCTCATAATGGTGGCAAGCTAGGGGATGAATCCGGTTTCGCGCACTTCCTGGTAACCGGTTTCAGTAAAACTTGGCAAATAGATGTATTCCACGAACTTTTGAGGTCGGTTTTTTAGTACTCTGTACTAAGACTATTTAATTAAAAAGAATGTGAAGAATACTATCACATATTTTTTTTTTATTGCCATTTCATAAACGCCCATTGTAAATGGAAAATATCGCATTCAAATTTAGCGCAATGTATTCTACATGATCATAGAGAATCTAGAAAAATACTTAAAAAAATCCAATTTGCTATTGTCATACAAAATTAAGGACATACTTGCGTGGGCCTGAAGCATGTAATTATATTTGCACATTTTAATGTACGGACAACGGCACATCAGACTACACATTTTTGTTCGAAAATCGCCTCCATCGCAATGGAACAAGATACGTCAATGTGTAGCTTGATGTGCTGGCGCCCAATGTACACACATTGGGCGTTTAGCGCCTCTCCCATTTCATTTTGCTGGGCCTTAGGAGCTTATACCCAATGCTTCAATAAAAAATATAGTTTCTTTAAAAATATTGTAAATAATTTAGAAATGGTTTTTTCCCACATATCACTGTAGCTGATTAGGTGAACCCCATTAAGTTATCAGAGAACTCTCAAATCATACAAATTTTTTCTTTTAAGAGAGTAGTTCAATAATCGTTTCAACTGCCTCCGTGGCCGAACGGTTACCATGCCGGACTGCCACGCAGAGGTCCTAGGTTCGATTCCCGGGCCGGGACAAATATTTGTATGGCCTACATTTATTTCTCTCGTGGGTTTGGGTGTAATTTGTGGTTGACTATATGTGTGTCCATGGCACCTGTGACACAGAGTTTCCCTAGTGCGGGGCTATGTTGAGTGTGTGCATTATTTATTTATTATCGTTTTGAAAACAAAAGGAATTTTATTTATTGATAGCTTAGCTTGATGCCAAGAAAGTAGGCTCTAAGGTGGAAATGTTAACTTGGCAAAGGGCTCTTGTTGATAACCTTTTGATAAATTTTTGGAGTTGATCCATCTCAAAATACAAAGGAATTAGCAATAATCATGCAATTATACCCACAATACTGACTCATTTGAACCAATTGATCAAATAATAGGTACAGCAACACATGCATATACACAAATTATCCATACTACAAGCAATTCGGTTTCTGACATTGCCATTTTAATTTCTGATGATTTAAAAGATCACAATTAAGGACACAAAGATGGTTTCATTTCATTTTTTGTTTACCATAATACTTAAATATTAGAATTAAATATCTGCTCATAATTACATTCATTTTGTTATATAGGAAATGCAAAAATAACATACCTCCTGCTGTTTCTCATTGAGGGCTTTGGTAAAATCTATTCTGGACTCCCATATTCTCTTGTCTGTATGCTGTCTGTATTTGGACATGATGAGTTCAAGAGCACGCCGGTGGTCTTCAAGGGCTGCTCGCAATTCTCCATTCTCTCGTTGCACATCTCTCATGAGTCGAGACTCTCGCTCTATGCTGGCAATCAAAGCTCCTCTCGGTCGCTCTCTTGAAGCTTCGTTCAGTGTATCCACTTCTTCTTTGTACTGAAAAATGAGGCATGGGATTTTTAAGAACTATTTCACAATTTTTTTTTGTAATATTAAGTGACCGGCCGGACACGTCGTGGGCCTGGTATTAAGCGACACGCCTGTCCATAGCGTTGCAATGCCACTCAGAGCTTTCAATCGCATAGATCCGAGTGACACTGTCACTGCGCCTGTCACTCTGAGACATCAGTTGTAAGTCCCATTTGCCTATAAATACCCTTCAAAACCAAAATTCAACGTGTCCTTTCTTACTTCCCAGTAATATTCGAAAATATAATAAATTAATCACTATCGATTTGTTTTTTGTTTACGACTACACTATTCTACAAGGTCAATGAACTTCTTTAATTTACGTTAAAAATTTCACGTAATTTCCGTTGAAATATTGTATAATACATCAAATTAAACGTGCTCTGCATCACACAACAAACTGTTATTGTTAAAATCAAGGAACTAGAAATACAAGTCGATTATCAAGAAGTACCTAACCCTCAACATCTTGTTACCTGTTTCATAGTATGGATTTGTCTGTACGCAGTCTGTGTTTCAGTCAACAGAGCATCAGCTTCGGTCTCCCGTTCCTTGAGACGGCCTGCTAGTCTTTTAGCATCCAAAATAATTTGCTGTATGGTCAGTGACATCTGTAAAAGCAAGCAATGTAGAAATCGCACGAGATCCAAGTTACCGCTACTACGTAAAACGTAACTGCACAAACCCTGTTTTCCACACAAAATAGTAACACAAATTGCGTATCATCTAAACAATTTTACACAATAAACGGAACAAAATACAAATTTCTATAGAAAAACCAACGACGCACATCAGCTGTTTCGTGGTATGAGTTCGGCAGCCATTAGCTTTCATTTGATGCAAGCGGTAAACCTTCCATTTTCAGTTCGTACTATATTTTAAACAGAGGGCGCTGCTACCAATACTATAACAACAAGTAAGAAAGAGAAAACAGGTGAGTTTATTTGGTAA